CCCGTAAAACTAACCAGCCCTATACACGCAAAACTAACCAGCCCTATACACGCAAAACTAACCAGCCCTATACACGTAAAACTAACGAGCCCTATACACGTAAAACTAACCAGCTCTATACACATAAAACTAACCAACCAACCAACCAGCTCTATACACGTAAAACTAACCAGCTCTATACACGTAAAACTAACCAACCAAGAAACCAACCCTATACACCTAAAACTAACCAGCCCTATACACGCAAACTTAACCAGCCCTATACACATAAAAGTAACCAGCCCTATACACGTAAAAGTAACCATCCCTATACACCTAAAAGTAACCAGCCCTATACAAGTAAAAGTAACCAGTCCTATACACGTAAAACTAACCAGCTCTATACACATAAAACTAACCAGCTCTATACTCGTAAAACTAACCAACCAACAAACCAGCTCTATACACGTAAAACTAACCAGCTCGATACACATAAAACCAACCAACCAACAAACCCACCCTTTACCCGTAAAACCAACCAGCCCTATACACGCAAAACTAACCAGCCCTATACACGTAAAACTAACGAGCCCTATACACGTAAAACTAACCAGCTCTATACACATAAAACTAACCAACCAACCAACCAGCTCTATACACGTAAAACTAACCAGCTCTATACACGTAAAACTAACCAACCAAGAAACCAACCCTATACACGTAAAACTAACCAGCCCTATACACGCAAACTTCACCAGCCCTATCCACATAAAAGTAACCAGCCCTATACACGTAAAAGTAACCAGCCCTATACACGTAAAAGTAACCAGCCCTATACACGTAAAAGTAACCAGCCCTACACATGTAAAACTGACCAGCCCTACACATGTAAAACTGACCAGCCCTATACACGTTAAACTAACTAGCCCTACACATGTAAAACTGACCAGCCCTATACACGTAAAACTGACCAGCCCTATACACGTAAAACTGACCAGCCCTATACACGTAAATCTAACCAGCTCTATACACGTAAAACTAACCAGCTCTATACACCTAAAACGTATCAACCAACCAACCAGCTCTATAAACATAAAACTAACCAGCTCCATACACATAAAACCAACCAACCAACCAACAAACCCACCCTATACCCGTAAAACAAACCAGCCCTATACCTGTAAAACTAACCAGCCCTATACACGCAAAACTAACCAGCCCTATACACGTAAAACTAACCAGCCCTATACACGTAAAACTAACCAGCCCTATACCCCTAAAACTAACCAGCCATATACACGCAAAACTAACCAGCCCTATACACGTAAAACTAACCAGCCCTATACACGTAAAACTAACCAGCCCTATACACGTAAAACTAACAAGCCCTATACACGTCAAACTAACCAGCTCTATACACATAAAACTAACCGACCAACCAACCAGCTCTATACACATAAAACCAACCAACCAACAAACCCACCCTATACATGTAAAACTAACCAGCCCTATACACGCAAACTTAACCTGTCCTAAACGCGTAAAAGTAACCAGCCCTATACACATAAAACTAACCAGCCCTATAAACATAAAACTAACCAGCCCTATTCACGTGAACTAATGGGCCTTTTCCATCTGTACCGGGTCGGCCCGGGCCGGGTAGCGTAGGTTGTTTACATATCTGGGTGGCCTGGTATTTTTACGGGCCAACCAAGCCTCATTCTCAGCCCTCTTCTCGAGGGGGTCTGCTTCAGGCCGACCAGGGCCAACACACCCACTGCTGACAGCAAATTCACACCTTCCATTAGAGCAAGCCTCTGATTGGTGGGTAGAATCAGCCCACATGGGCTTAAGACAAGGATGTGTGGAATCAACCGGGCCAGGCAGGGCCGACTGTGGCTACCCGGCCCGGGCCGACCCGGTACAGATGGGAATGGCCCATTACCAGCCCTATACACGTAAAACTAACCAGCCCTATACACGTAAAACTAACCAGCCCTATACACGTAAAACTAACAGCCCAATACACGTAAAACTAACAGCCCAATACACGTAAAACTAACCAGCCCAATACACGTAAAACTAACCAGCCCTATACACGTAAAACTAACCACCCCTATACACGCAAAACTAACCAGCCCTATACACGTAAAACTAACCAGCCCTATACACGTAAAACTAACCAGCCCTATACACGTAAAACTAACCAGCCCTATACACGCAAAACTAACCAGCCCTATACACGCAAAACTAACCAGCCCTATACACGTAAAACTAACCAGCCCTATACACGTAAAACTAACCAGCCCTATACACGTAAAACTAACCAGCCCTATAAACGTAAAACTGACCAGCCCTATACATGTAAAACTGACCAGCCCTATACACGTAAAACTAACATGCTCTATACACATAAAACTAACCAGCTCCATACACATAAAACCAACAAACCAAAAAACCCACCCTATACCCGTAAAACTAACCAGCCCTATACATGCAAAACTAACCAGCCCTATACACGCAAAACTAACCAGCCCTATACACGTAAAACTAACCAGCCCTATACACATAAAACTAACCAGCTCTATACACATAAAACTGACCAACCAACCAACCAGCTCTATACACGTATAACTAACCAGCTCTATACACGTAAAACTAACCAACCAACAAACCCACCCTATACCCGTAAAACTAACCAGCCCTATACATGCAAAACTAACCAGCCCTATACACGTAAAACTAACCAGCCCTATACACGTAAAACTAACCAGCTCTATACACATAAAACTTAACCAACCAACCAACCAGCTCTATACACGTATAACTAACCAGCTCTATACACGTAGAAACTAACCAACCAACAAACCAACCCTATACACGTAAAACTAACCAGCCCTATACACGCAAATTTAACCAGCCCTATACACATAAAAGTAACCAGCCCTATACACGTAAAAGTAACCAGCCCTATACATGTAAAAGTAACCAGCCCTATACACGTAAAAGTAACCAGCCCTATACATGTAAAACTGACCAGCCCTATACACGTAAAACTGACCAGGCCTATACACGTAAAACTGACCAGCCCTATACACGTAAAACTAACCAGCTCTATACTCGTAAAACTAACCAACCAACAAACCAGCTCTATACACATAAAACTAACCAGCTCCATACACATAAAACCAACCAACCAACAAACCCACCCTTTACCCGTAAAACTAACCAGCCCTATACACGCAAAACTAACCAGCCCTATACACGTAAAACTAACGAGCCCTATACACGTAAAACTAACCAGCTCTATACACATAAAACTAACCAACCAACCAGCTCTATACACGTAAAACTAACCAACCAAGAAACCAACCCTATACACGTAAAACTAACCAGCCCTATACACGCAAACTTAACCAGCCCTATACACATAAAAGTAACCAACCCTATACACGTAAAAGTAACCAGCCCTATACACCTAAAAGTAACCAGCCCTATACACGTAAAAGTAACCAGTCCTATACACGTAAAACTAACCAGCTCTATACACATAAAACTAACCAGCTCTATACTCGTAAAACTAACCAACCAACAAACCAGCTCTATACACGTAAAACTAACCAGCTCCATACACATAAAACCAACCAACCAACAAACCCACCCTTTACCCGTAAAACCAACCAGCCCTATACACGCAAAACTAACCAGCCCTATACACGTAAAACTAACGAGCCCTATACACGTAAAACTAACCAGCTCTATACACATGAAACTAACCAACCAACCAACCAGCTCTATACACGTAAAACTAACCAGCTCTATACACGTAAAACTAACCAACCAAGAAACCAACCCTATACACGTAAAACTAACCAGCCCTATACACGCAAACTTCACCAGCCCTATCCACATAAAAGTAACCAGCCCTATACACGTAAAAGTAACCAGCCCTATACACGTAAAAGTAACCAGCCCTATACACGTAAAAGTAACCAGCCCTACACATGTAAAACTGACCAGCCCTACACATGTAAAACTGACCAGCCCTATACACGTTAAACTAACTAGCCCTAAACACGTAAAACTAACCAGCCCTATACACGTAAAACTGACCAGCCCTATACACGTAAAACTGACCAGCCCTATACACGTAAAACTAACCAGCCCTATACACGTAAAACTAACCAGCACTATACACGTAAAACTAACAAGCCTATACACGTAAAACTGACCAGCCCTATACACGTAAAACTGACCAGCCCTATACACGTAAATCTAACCAGCTCTATACACATAAAACTAACCAGCTCTATACACCTAAAACGTATCATCCAACCAACCAGCTCTATAAACATAAAACTAACCAGCTCCATACACATAAAACCAACCAACCAACCAACAAACCCACCCTATACCCGTAAAACAACCCAGCCCTATACCTGTAAAACTAACCAGCCCTATACACGCAAAACTAACCAGCCCTATACACGTAAAACTAACCAGCCCTATACACATAAAACTAACCAGCCATATACACGTAAAACTAACGAGCCCTATACACGTAAAACTAACGAGCCCTATACACGTCAAACTAACCAGCTCTATACACATAAAACTAACCGACCAACCAACCAGCTCTATACACATAAAACCAACCAACCAACAAACCCACCCTATACACGTAAAACTAACCAGCCCTATACACGCAAACTTAACCTGCCCTATAAACGTAAAACTAACCAGCCCTATAAACGTAAAACTAACCAGCCCTATACACGTAAAACTAATGGGCCATTTCCATCTGTACCGGGTCGGCCCGGGACGGGTAGCCTAGGTTGTTTACATATCTGGGTGGCCTGGTTTTTTTCTGGGCCAACCAAGGCTCATTCTCAGCCCTCTTCTCGAGGGGGTCTGCTTCAGGCCGACAAGGGCCAACATACCCACTGCTGACAGCAAATTCACACCTTCCATTAGAGCAAGCCTCTGATTGGTGGGTAGAATCAGCCAACATGGGCTTAAAGTAGTGGTAATCCCCTGTCAGAGTCTTACTCCACCCACATTTCATATTTGAAAAATGCGGCCCAAAGAGGCGTTTCCTGTAAGACCGAGAAGGCGGAGCTACGACCGTGATTGACATACTGAAATTTGAATACAGATGGCGACGGAGAGCGACAGTAGCTCAGAGCAGTCATTCGAGGTGGAGGACTTTTCCCCACCTTCTTCCCCAGAGGATAGGGAGGAGGGCTTATTGGGGGAAGCAAGCGGTCCTGAACCGTATCTTTTTGAGCCACTAGCTCGTTAGTTGTCAGAGGCCCCTGGAGTCGAGCCAGCAGGAGTATCAAGGCATCTAATGGGTCCAGTCTCTGAGTGGTAAGTAGCTTTTAGCCACAGCTAGCTATATTTAGCTTAGCTAAAAGTAATTTTGTATGACTGCCTCAACAGGTGCACCTTTGGCCACTGCACATCATTGTCTGCCAGAGAAAATGTGTGCTGCAGAGAAACGCCCAAGGTATAAAAATAAAAGTACCCCACCATGAGAAAAGGATTCTGTAATGTACACATTTGTTACACAATCACTAACATCATACTAATATTGAACTCTTATAGCCCTGATATCAGTTGTTCTTTGTCATAGGTAATGCTCAGGTGTCAGCAGGTGGGTGTAACCTCCTGCATAACAGAGCATCCTGGTTTTGAGGCTGTTGCTCTGAATCCCTACGTGTTGCAGGCAGTTTATGGCAGCTTTCTGCAACTCTATGGGGAGATGCAGGAGACTACGCTCAACAGGTAAGACAACTGTCAAAATAATTTTTTTATGAATACTTTATAACTCATACCACCTCTTTCTCAGCTGTTACAGACATCTGGCGTACCGGAATGTGGTCAGGTGGTGTTGGGGTTACCTGGGACAGCACGTTCGTGTTGTGATCCCGTCATGCGCTGTCTCCAGAATAAGGCAGGAGTTCCCAGAAGACGGTGCATACAAAGGATTCCTCCCTCCTCTGAACTAATATATATTTTTTGGATTAAATAAATGTTATAATATATATTTCCTGTATTGATTCCTGTCCATAAAAAGCTGCATAAATCACAAAACGGTAAATGCACTTCTTTACACTTTGACATTATTTATATATACACACATATAGCCACACACTTTTCAAATGAGCTCTTACAACAGTAAGGTTCTAATTCGGGGTTAATTAATGCTGCTGTAACAAGTGAGTTTACACCCTGTGTGATTAATGAAGTCTAATCTAGAGCAGGTTCAATTAGGTAAAAATGAATGATAATTTAATAAATGTGATATATGTATTTATACAAATCAAAATATCAATATAATTGTATTTAAAATGACACAATTGCGCTTTAAAGATAACATTTATTATAGCTACTACTAAGACAACGTTAGATTACAATCTGATCATAACTTTCATGATTTTTGACAAAACTCTAAACCACAAGCAGAGATTCTGGAGCCATGTGAGGATAGGTTGGGCCATCAGTGATGTTTCTTTGGTTCCTTAGACTGGAGGTAGCTTTCACTGTGATGACAAACGTGGAGATGGATCCCGGGAGCACAGGCTTTTCTGTAACAATATCAGGAGGCTCTGAGGAAAAAAGTAATATTAGTATGACTAGTATGACTTACAAAAGCAAGACTGGTGAGTTTTGTTATGTTACATACGGCCAAGATTTTCAAGTTGTATGGGAGCCACAGAGCAGAAAGGTTGTAGAGATCAATAGACATCTGGGAGGTGGACAGCATGAGTCACAGGTGGATGAGCATAAAGATCCATAATGACGACAGGTAACTCCTCTGTCGTACAGTGGTGTGCAGCCTGGCTGAGGAGGAGAAAAGGAAAAACCACACAGAGTAGAGTACTAACTAATAATTACAATCTCTTGTTGTGTAGCTCACCTTACGTGCACTTTAAAACCTGGACCTGTGCCTGCTCACAGCATCCCGTTTATCTGGTCTTTGGAACTGGGCACAGAGCGGTTCTGGAACCGGAATTTTGTCCGAGTACTCCTGATATGGGAGAGGATCCACCACCACAGAGTCGAACAGCAGATCTATAAGCTTGTGCACATATACTGGAAAAGGGTTTTCAGTATTACAATAGCTCTCCATGACATCATTTTGGTTTTATCATACAATATATGACATACATGAGGTTGGATTGGTCTTCAGGGCTCTCACTGTGTAGTCTCCATGTTTGTACTTTGGGTACACTACAGCATATCTCAGCTCACCAGTTGCTGTTGCTGCATGTGAGCGTGCTGCATTTTCATTATAGTGCATTGCAGCAATTTGTAATCTGAAATAATCAAATAAACAAACCATGTAGATTTTAGGCAAAATTCTACATTTCATTCTAAAATTTGAACAATTAGAGGCATTAATTTGAACATTTGTTGTATTCATTACCTAGACAGCATTCCTTTGAAGGAGAAGACCTGACTTTTTGGAGTAAATCTGATGATGAGACTGTGGAAAGCCTCCAAGGTGGATGTGTGGTACTGAGGGCTTATCTTCTCTACGTCCTTCACAAACCGTGGAGCTAACAGAATGGCAGTGAGCTTCTCACATGATGCTGTGCCTAAGTAGAAAATGTTAATTACAAAAATTACAATTTGATCAACTTTAGAATGTTGCTATTATTTCATTGAGAAAAAGTTACCCATAGCTGACATTTTTAGATGACAAATGTATGAAAGAGTGACTAATAGTGCTGTAGACAGGTGTGGTAATTACTTACGGCATTTTAGTACATATTATGTCAATTATGGCTGTTCTGCCTAAAACCATGAGTTGTGTGGCGCACTCTTCTGTTTAAATTTCTGCACAGCATTTTATTCTTAGTAATTAATTGCTGTTGGCCAAATGGTGGTGTGTGACCTTAGCAGCCACATGTGACGTCTGTAACTCTCATGCTCCAAAAATATTTCTCCATGTTGAAGGAGGTGAAGACAAATATTCTGTTGTGGGGTGACGTGTTTTAAATGTAAAGAAACCAAACAGTAAAGGCTCAGCTGTAATGAGTACATGCTACACTTACTTGGTTTGAGCCACTGTCTTGCCTGTTCTCCATCCAGAGGTGCATGCAGACAGCTAGGGAACAGGGTGTTGTCATGGCTGTGCACATTTTGGATGTGGTTGGCAACTGAAGTCCACTTTGCTACTGCCTCCTGTCCTGAGGAGGAACTGGATGCTGACCAGTAGAGGTGGTTCACCACACTTTGCTTCCACAGTCTCACATCCTGGGTCGTCTTTCTCTTCCCCAGCGCTTCGATTTTCTTACCAATTCCTGGAGAGCCAAACAGACCCACATTTAAAATAGAAAAAAAATCCTGTAATATTCACTATATACATCCACAAAGATTACCTTTTCCCATGTGCCAGGGGTCAAAGTAGTGACTGATTTCCTTTTTTTCCTCCCGCAAATACTTCTGCACTCCTGTGTGGCGGTCAGTCACGACTTGCTGCACATCGACCCCCCTCTCCAAAAGTGTGCTCAGACTTCTCACAAATCCCTCCTTCTCCATTCGCACACTATTTCCAACTTCATTGCTCTGAAAATAAACATAATTCTCCATTGATCTGTGAATAATTAACCATGAAATGCATTGGAATCATCAGGTAATGTTGTACCTGTACAAGTTGGATATCAGTAACTTTGTTTCTTTTGAGATCCTTCATGGTGCAGCTGCCATATTTGGCTGAGTTTCCTTCAAGAAATGCAAGTTATTACTTAATTTACATTTGATAGCAAAGGAATAAAATAAATAAATTTAAAAGTATTCACCAGGTGAATCAGCTCGCATGTCACCACCAAGAGTCACAGGTCCAGATTCAGTAGCCTCCTGGATGATATCAGCTTGCTCTAGCTGCCACTGCCAGCTCACTGTTGGAATTAACAGCTTTGCCTGATGTCGAAAGAATGTCTGCTTGGACAGTCCCTGCACATTGAAGGCACCCAGGAACTAAAATATGAAAAGTTACGTCATGAAATGAGAGACGCACAGACCTTATCAAAACCAACCTAAACAGTTTTGGCCTATACCTTAGAAATCTGGCTAAATGATGAGCCTGTGAAAAGGACAGCAGCACAGAGCTGGAGGTTTCCTGCTGGGATGCTGTTCACCATGGGCTGACTGGACCACTCATTGTAGTGCTCACAGCATGAACACCGTTGTGTCACACGGAGCAGTGTGCCGACTGTTGTCGTGTTCACAACACAACGACCGGTACAAACGGGACACCTTCTGAACAGCCCCAGCAACTGTTTCTCATGAACAATGTACTTCTTGTCCTTTTGTGGATGGACCTCAGTGAAAGAGCTGTATAGAACACATACATTTATATATATGGTCATAACTAAAAAATTCTAAAATGTTATAATTTTTTTTTACCTTGAACAGTTCACTGAGCTTCCACTGTCATTGAGGTGGAAGCTGGGATCAACAACAGACACCTCATATCGTGGTCTTTTCAGGGGTGTGGACGCAGCTCTGGGACTTTGTGGAAGATGAATTTCCGTCACGGTCCCTGTGTCACAAGACACACTGCGGCTGTGAGCTTTAAACTGGGTGGCTATGTAAAATACAAAGAAGCAGCACATTTATAAATGTTTAAAAGAGCATAAAATCACGTGTAACAATAATCTGCAAAACAAATAAAAACTAGAAGGTAATAATAAAATGTTTACGTAGAAGATTATTAAAAATAATTCACCTTTGCTACGTCGATAAGGCTTTACATGAGCCTGGACAAGTGCATTTTTGCAGATTACTAAATCAGTCTGACAGCCAACGTCTTGGGTAGATTTAGCCTGAAAAAAAAATAGAAGCACATTGTTGTTGTTGTTTATAAAGTCAGATAATATACAAAAGAAACTGTCCGAAATATATATATATATATATATTTATATATATATATATATATATATATATATATATATATATATATAGGCGCTTTATGACATTCCTAGTGTGTGATCGTTATTATAACGTAAAAGTCAGTCACATATGATGTGAAGAACCTGAAATGCGACCTCCTGAACAGAATTCCTCACAGAACCGGGTTAGGCTTTGGTGTAAAGCTGGATTTCACGCTGTAATGATGTCTGTCAACTAGTGCTGCGTTAGAGCCACTGTTGCTGAATTACCGACTGACACAAAAACAACCCGGATTTTCTCCGAGCCTGACAGAAATAGTCATGTGGACCTTTTTGTCGGCCAGGGCTTCGAGAAATGTTCCGATTCTCCGCTGATTCTAACCTTACATCCCGTTCCACATTTTGTGAACTTGACAATTTAGCCCGAAGGCAGTGCAGGCTGATATTAGCTAAAGGAAGTGAACCACGTCTCTCAAACTTTGCATTTAGGTAGGGAATTGTCTTTAGAAGATGTTAAAACGTTTATTTAGCTTACTCACCTCAGACTGGAGCCCGCCATGGTGGGGGAGCAGAGTCGGTGGGCTGCATCTAATTCGTGGAAGAGCCACGGTGGGCACGGCCTCACTCTTCAAACGGAGACGTGCAGAATAACCCAGTTCAAACTCCATCATGTTGGCGAAGGAATCGCGGGTAAAATGCTGGTTGCAGACTACAGCACCAGGCGGGAGCTGACTGTTATCCTGTACACGATTGCGCGCAACCACTGGCGCCTAATTTCTAAGTCCAGTGGAAAGGAGTGCAACCCCACAGAGCTACCACAACCAACTACACTACACCTTTTAACCATACTAACACTATATGGAACACTAAACCCGAATTATTTTCCTAATAAAACTAACAGCTAAACACTAACTAAACTACAATATCTAACAGCCAAGCTGACACTAAATAAGTACTAACACGATATGGAACACTAAACCCGAACTACTTTCCTAGTAACACTAAAAGCCAAACACTAACTAAACTACAATATCTAACAGCCAAGCTAACACTAAATAAGTATTTATAACACTAAAAGCTATGCTAAAGACTATAATATGCTAATGCTATATGCTAATGCTGAACTACCGCTAACCGTCCGACACTC